AGCAGGTTGAAATGTTCCAAATTCCTGTGCCCACAATTCTAGAAATGTTTGTTTCCATTGCATTCTTCAGACCTTTTGGTTAACAAATTCCAGGGCTAAAGGCACAAGACACTAATGTGATTTAAGTAGGCATTTAGTCCAAGTTAAAAAGCCTTAAAATCCCTCTGTCAGAATCTTAGGTACTTTTACAGCCTTGAAGGTCATGGCACTTAGATCCTGGAACAGAAGCATTCATCTCATTAAAGTATACAAATTGTTCAAGTCTTAAAGGTCCATTAAGGGAAACCAGTTTGGGCAACTGACAGAATGGGATCTGTTGATGAACTTCCTGCAAATGAGGAAACAAAGTAGCTTTAAGTGCTGATAGGAGATACATTTTTTCCATATGGCTGTTTTTTAAAATCCGTTTCTCCGCCTGCGTTTCTCACTTCCCACAATTTGATGAAATTGTGGTGTTCAGTACACCTAGCTAAGATTGCCTGATTTTCTCACTTTCTTGAGTAGTTCCTTATTCTGCTCACTTTTATTATATGATAAGCCAGTAACTTAATATTTTGCTGCCATTGTGGCTGACACCAAGAGTACTTGCTTCATTTTATTGCCATGTATACAAAGTAAAAATGCAGTTTCAGCTGCCAGTGCATAACATTTGTTCACTGGGGAAAGTCTGCCACAGCCTCTTTTATTACCTGTGCTTTGGGATTGCTAAAGCAAAGGCAGTAGGAAAAAGTCCCTCCTTTCCCGTTGGTATCAAGCTCCTCTAAGAAAGAATAGGCAGGAAGAACATATTCCCCAATCTGTTCTTTGTTTCTTTCTGGTTTTTGGAAAGGAACTAGATACTGCATATATTTCTAGAGATATTCTCAGCAAGAACCTGCAGCTTCTGCAACAGAACTGCCCATTGTCACCTCTTCATTCTGCACAGACTGATCCCTGAACATGTTAGCAGTATTCTTGGCATATTTTTCAGTATAGACAAAACCTTTTCAGCAGAAGGTTCACTTCACTTAAAATAGATGTTCCCTATTCCCTTTGCTTTGAATTCTGAATGCTTGTATCTGGAACATGGAGTTCACCCAGGTGGAGGGCTGCTTTTACCAGCTCACTGACCTGAGAGATGAAGATATTTTTTGACCATGTGCTTTTGTTTATTACATATAATTAATAGAACTGAATGGAAGAGGAAGGTTTGGGGTTTTTTTTGAAGCAATATGCTAACCAAAGTGAGGGTGATTGTCTTACTATGTGCAGAACCAACTCCAGGGAGCTGGGAGAGGATGTTTGGAAGACATTTCACTGATTGCCTCTCTTCTCTCTCTCTCCACTAGGAAGATGTTATTAATACTCAGTGTGGCTATGATGCAAGGCAAAAACCAGTAAGCATTTTTTTTTTCTTTTTCCTTAATGTGGTATGTTAAGGATCTGAATCCCTGTTGCAAGAGCAGATTGTTCTACTGATGGGATCCTGAATGTAATTATCTCTGTGTTCTTCCCTCTTCTCCTTGGCAGGAAGTTGATCAGCAGATTGTTATCTACACTAAAGGCTGTGTCCCTCAGTTTGAGAAATGGTTGCAGGACAACCTTACCATAGTTGCTGGTATATTCATTGGGATAGCATTACTGCAGGTAAGCATCACATTCCCTGTAATGAGTTACACAGAGGAATAACAGAAAGTGAATATGTGGGGGGAGAAACTGTGTCTGAGAACTGGAAATACAGTGTCAGTTGCCCTTAGAAATATGTTTGTGGGTTTTAGAGTGGGGAACTAAATCTATGAGGCTTTCTTTATGTTAAGGAGTATTTAATATTTATCAATAAGGATGCATTTATTTTCTTTTCAACTCTGTAGAACTAACACTCTGTTAGATAAAGAGTAGAGATTTTTAAGCCTGCACAGACCTGCTGTTTCTGATGGTGCTTAAATGAGCAGCAAAAAGCCTTTTAAAGCTGCTTTTGTTGAATTTGTAGAATTGTTCAATTTCCTGGAACTGAGTGCTGCTATAAGAGTACTGGGGTTACAGGAGTTTTGTGACATTCTTCCTTCTTCCAGCACTTACTGCTCATCTGATTTCTAACTTTCCATTGCATGTTTTTCATGTCAAAGTTCTGTATAACCTAAGGAGTTTGCCTGTGTGAAGAGAGTTGTCTGATGCTCCAAATGAATAAACTGTTGTCTCTTCCAGATATTTGGGATATGCTTAGCCCAGAATTTGGTTAGTGACATTGAGGCTGTCAGAGCCAGCTGGTAAAACTGCTGAAGTAACCCCAAGAAGACACTGGACAACTGAAACCCTCTGAAACCTCCAGTGTGTCACTCGGACACCAAGCTGTATGGACATGGGTGACAGGGAAGCCTTCTCTCCCAAGTAGTCTCAAGTCTAAGTTCCTGGTATTGCAGTGAACTTGTGTTTCTTTGGGGTGGGGGAGAGGAGAGTGGGCTCTTGAAAATCTGCTGCTCACTGACATTTTATTTTTCTTTTAAAACCACCAGTTTGAAAGCTGTTGAGCTGTGAATCTCTACTGTATTCTTGATTTTGAGTAACAAGTGGACGCTTTTTAAAATTGGTGTAGTCAGTGAGACAGAGTTGCATCGTTGTAGTCTGTGGATATGCTGTTTATTCTTCATGTCATGAGGTCTTTGATAGCTGCCAAATATTCCTGAGATGGTCTAGCTCCTCACTACTCTGTAACAGAACAATCTTCTTGTTTTCACAGCTAAACATAGCTACAGGCCTAAACCCATGAAGCAGGAAGCAACTTTCTATGCATCTATTGTACAGTAAAAGAAGTGGTTTTTAAAACAAGGAATTTTTTTTTTTTTTATGCAAGCTTCCAACCATCTCCCTGTAGCACTTTGAGGTTGGAATCGGCAAGCTCACAGGGAGAATTGCCTGATTTTATCAAGATCTTTCTTCCTTCTCCACCCTTGTGTGAAGGGAAAGGAGTTTTATATTTGACAAACAAGGGTTGTAGAGCCTTTGGTTGCTGCCATACCTTTGGACATCAGTCTCTTAAGGCAAGGATGGGATATAACTGTATAAATGTATGAAAGCAGTGTGGATGTTGGGTCCAAGTGAAAAATAGTATTCAAAGAGTGAATTATATATTAACTTAAAAAATCAAAACGTATGTATCGGATATGGCAACATCTTTTTTTAATCTGAAATTTAGTGTAACCTAATGTATTTAGGGATCTTGCTAATATTGATGCTTTGACATACTTGTGCAAAACTTCTTTTTCTAGTCTGTTCCTAGCTGAGGCTTTGGTCTTTTTTTTTTCTTTTTCTTTCCTTTAATTCTTTTAACTTGCATGAGCTGTGGAGTAAAAATCTGTGACACTCCAGTGCTTTAAATATGTGCATATGTTTTAATAAGTCTAATCCAAACTTATCTATTGGTAAGTGCATGTGATATGGAAAGGTCATATCCCATTCTCTTGGAAGATGGAGAGAACAGTTTTTGCCAGAGTAAATGCTTACCTCCAGTGAACAATTCCTTGCTATGAAGATGTGTCTCTCTTTCTTGTTCTAAAGGCAACAAAAAGCTTTCTTGAAGCAACAGAATAAAAGTTTTAAAATAGCAGAGTTTATTAGGGTCAGCTAAGACAGACTCTTTTGAACTGGACAAAAGAGAACAGAATTTGGAATAAAGCACAAATAGTGGAAGAAGGCTTAGATCAGGCTCCATCCAGCTTAGAGTTTTTCATTTGTTCTTCTATGCTAATAATAGTGAACTTACAGACCTGACCATGGCTTGGGTAGTTTAATTGCACTTTGTATAAATTTAGCTTGTTGTATGACCCTTCTCAGTATCTGCAGAACCAGTCCTGAAAGCTGTGAGTTCTCACCTCCTGCTTTGGTCAGACAGTGGGAAAGGGAGTGTAGCACCACTTTGTAAGGACTTAACATCTTTCTGAGATGAGTTTCCTAAAATACGAGATACGTGGAGTAGAAGAGATGAACACACTGCTTTCAAAGCTTCCCTGGCCTGGGGGATGGATAGAAGGCTGATCTGATCACCTGTTAAGGCCCTTTCTGGTCCTGTGACTCTTAAACATGTGAGTATATGTACCCTTGCACATTTTGCCTTTCTGTGCTGTAGTTGGCCGTGGGTTTTTCCCTCTGGAAGCTGGTGGTAGTCATACCGGTGCTTCACAGATGCCTCAGACAGACCTGTTGTCCTCCTGTCTTTGAGCATTACCTCATTCTCTCTCCGGTGAACTCACACTGACTGGCTCTGAATCAGGCAGCAGCCTCCATATCCCCTGCTATCTGCTGGGAAAGGCCAGCCATGACTCAGAGGATTTTTTTTGAAAGCCTTTGAAAGCAATTATAATTCACTGTCCTTAATAAAGTTGGTTCCACCTCACCACAGTGTTACGTTTTTCTTAGCCACTCCTCGGCTTGAGGAGTTACTGGTGTTTGTTTTCCCCCAAGGGACACACCATTTTGCCTGATAATGACAGGACAGACAGATCATCAGCACCAGTGTGGCTGCACTGAGACAAAATGCTGTGGGGAGGAATCAGGGAAGTGAGGTTGAGGAAGTAAGCCCTCCACCCAAGAGTGTTGATTGTGACCTGCAGCTTTGGTTTGGAGGAAAACAAAAGTCTAATTACACAAACATTCCTTCTTGCCACTGATTTTGAATACTGCTGTTGCTGCTGGGGGATTCTGAAGACAGCTTCATTCTTCTACTTGAATTTCTGCAGTTATACTGTATTGGCCTTCTGTCTTGTCATGCTGTTCTGAGTTCCAATCTGCAGGATGTGCTGTTGGCACTGTCAGACTGATGGGAGGGCAAACGCTCTGAGGTGAGCAAATCTTCTTCTCACTACTTGTACGTGTACACATAAATGTGCAACACTTCTGCTGAATCCCAGAATGACTGACTGTTCTTATAAAAACCACTAAATAACTTATTTTTCTAGAGCTTGTCTTTATTGCTGCAGATGTTGGTCCTCCTCACTTCCCCACTCCCAAGAGATGCTCTTACTTTCCTCATTTTTGCAGTTTGATGGATGTGTACTCAATGTTCAGGATTAGCTTCTATATTGCACATTTAAATCCCATATTTTTTTGTCTACAGATCAGGTAAGAGGTCCTAGAAATGCCCCATCAGCAGCTACTCAGCAGCTTAGGTGTCCAGTTTGGAAGGCTTGTTGGGAAGCCTCGGAAACAAACGTATTATTGTCAGAGCTTGCCAAATACAAGCAAACTTTCTCCTAGAAAACTTTGGAAAGTTCAGGTGGGCTGCAACTAAAGCACAACTGCTGGCTGCATGGGCTCAGTGTCTAAAGCAATAAGATACGGTAGGCACTAGGACTTCTTGACAATTTCTAGCCTGCCTGGTGTGGTGGTGGATTAGATGTGAGTTCAGAGGTCAGTTTAATTATCTTTGACATGCAGTAGTTGTTCAGAAATTTGTTATCAGACTTAAGGCCCTTATGAAATGTGAAACAGCTCTGTTTGCTGGGCAATTCCTGGGGGTTGGTGGCTTTGCTAACAGTCTGGTAGCTTCAGCAGCAGCACTGGCTGTAAAGCTATTTCCATATACCCCATTGAGCCCTGACAAAGCACATCACAGTCCTTGCTCCTCTGCTTTCTAAATTCTGTCTGTATTCACAGGCCTTTCTGTTGTTTGATTTTTTTAAATATATTTTTTATTAACAGCGTAATGGACAAATGTTTGGTTCATCTCCGTGTGTCTGTTTCAATAGTAGTAGCATTTTGCTTCCAAATCCATAATTTTGATTGCCCCCCTTAGAGTTTGAGGCTGTGGGGATGCTTGCTCAAGTGTACTGTGTCCTGAAAGCCTTCTTCTCTCCCCTTTGAGAGAGATGCTCATTGTAGTTCTGGTGTGTAAATAGTGTTTGAAATGTAAATAGTAGCATGCAGATTAAATGCTTCTTGCACAAGACTGCTTTTCACCCTGGAAGTGTTGATTATAGGTAAGAAAAGTGTCCACCATGAGAGTTTGCTGGTGAATCCTGAGTGGTCATCTGGACTGTCCATTGTCCTGGCAGTGTGGCAGGAGCACCTCAGCCACTTGCTGTCCTGTGTCTGCCCAGAGGGTGTGGTGAGCCCTGGGCAGCCCTTGGGGCTCTGGTTAGTCACAGGACCTCTCTTCCCTTTTCCCTTTGCTGCTTGGCATTACAACTGCATCAGGCTGCGAAGCAGAGGGTTGGTGTCAGCACCCCTTACCAGTTATGGGAGGTTGCCATCACTTGTGGCAGGACAAACATGGTGCTATAAGAACTGTCCTGGACGTCAATGTGTGTTTTTACTACTTTAGAGATGCCCTTGGTGGAGTTGGTTCTGATTAATAACGTTGGTTACAAGAGAAACTCTTCTGTGAGTTCTTCCCTTCTTGCTGTGTGTGCCTTTTGGGTGCATTGAAATGGCAGTTCTGAAAATACCTGGGAAGAGTAGATCTCAACAGGTGTCAAGCACTGCTGAAGGTTCCAGTTCCTCTCTCTCACTTTTGTTTTCTCTCTGTATCTTTTCCTGATACCCTATAATAGGTCATGAAACTGTCTAAAGCAAACAAAACAATACTACCTTGTCAGATCCATTAGCTACCAAATTTTGCCACTTGAAGGAAAATAAAAAATCTGTCTCCCTGAACATGCAGTATAAAAAGGAGTGTTGTGACTACTAGCAGGCAGCACTGCTAGCTGTCTTTTGTGTTTTGGCAATATAAATGTGTTAATAAAAAATCTCTATCCGTATGTGTGTTCATGTTCACGCTGTGTACATAGTAGAGATGGACCTGAATGCTACCTTGAGCTCTGGGGAGATTGGGATTTGGGTGATGTGACTCAGATCCATTTCCAGTATGTATGTTCCAGATTAGTTACAGCTGACTCTCTCTCTCTGGTTCATCCTAAGGTGTACAGCAAGGTGTCGATATTTACCCTTTGTGTATCATTCCTTTTTATACGAATGTATTCTCTTGTGTTTCTTTTTTTAATCAGTTGTAAAATTGATTGTAAAAGCCAACTACACTTACCGATTGAAAGTATTGCTATAACAGAACTGCATGCCCAGTAGAGTTTGACTTGAGCTTTAGTTTTCTGATTTCAGACTGGTTCCCTTCAGTCTAGGAGAAAAGCATAGATCAGGTGCATAATGTATTACTTGTCATCTTTAGCATTAGACTGTGGTATTGTATCACATGCTGATCTCAATGGATGTAACTGGAGTCTACTTAGGAAGTTAATGCAACTTCCTGGTAATTCATTTTAAGCTATTGAAAGTGGTCTTGGTCATATTACTTGTGTTCTTGGGCTTTTGTTTTTTTAATAGAGGCATTTTTTAGGAATGTTTTAATACATTTATGATGGACAATACAATAGTTTTAATAGTTGTGCAGTATTCTGTATTTACTTGAAGTAAATCATTTTATATGCAATTTGTTAGATAATTACAATTTTATAAATAAAACTGTGTGAAATATGATGTTGTGAATGTGTACTCATGTGTCACTTCATATTAACAACACAAAGGTAGACTCCTGCAAAATTCCTTCAGGAGAAGACCCATGGCTCCCTTCCTCCAAAGTAACAGGGGAAATAAATCCCTCATATGCAGTGTAGAATACTGTGTTCTAATTAAGTCACAAAACACATTACCAGGCCACTGGTGGCTGCCCCTGATGTGGAG